CACTCACTTGTGATCAAGGCCTGCAGTTTTACTTTTTCAAAATGTTTCAGTCCCTGGGAGCTGCGTTGCCAATGATGCAAGTGATGGTATTGGGGTGGACCGGGTGAAATGTTTCAGCCCATTTTCTATGGGTTGAGTTTCTTTAAAGAGACAGAAAGCAGTGATTTAAATAATTCATTCTGCCTCTTATTTTTTCGTACACATAGGTGGGAGTGGAATTAGCCTTTTTTTTAAAAAAAAAGTAAGGGGTGGTTAAACAGACATGTGAAGCCATCCATTATGCCCAGAAAAAAAAGGGAGGACCTAGGAAGAAAAACAGTGGAAGTGCTCTGAGACCCTCAAAATGGAAACTGAAGTCTGATGCAGCCCCTAACCTAGCATGACATCTGAAGATGCTCTTAATCCAACTGTGGTTTCATGTGGCTCATTGTCTGGCATTAAGCATCCAGGCCAAGCCAACTTCTGACAAAATATCAGGCTGTAACACGGAAATTAAAACCTATTTTAAATCCTTGAAATTAGATCTGAGAGACGTTTCTATTGTTTTCTGCAAATTCAGCAGAAGTAAAAGATTAAAGATTAATACAAGGAAAAGGTTAAATGCTGAAATAATTATAGTCTGGTAGGCTGGACACGCCCTTTCAGATAATCAAGTAAGTTGTACCTGTTGGGGCCTGCCCTGAATTTCACTCTGCACATAAATGTGCTGCACTTCGTATCTGTGGTGTGACTTACTCAGGTTTTAAAAAAGTAATTTCATTTATATTTTTATTTATTATTTCAATGTGTATGGCCACCCACTTGCCATCTGGACAGTTAACAGAGGATTATAAAACATTTAAAAATACAACAGAAATAATTAAAACCCATCATACTAGAAGCAACTCACACTGAAAACATTAAAAATGGGCTCATGTGACATTCTAGTGTTCTGCTGTTTAGTACCTATATACTCTACATACTGCGACAAAAGTACAGACTACAGACAAATCATAATCTTTAGACACAACAGCAGATACCTGCAACCAAATTGATTCACACAACATTTATCTATGGTTAATCTATCTATAGTTTGCTCGACCAAATTGTTAATTTTCCCTCAACCCACCAAACCAGAAACTAACCAAACAAACTTGCTTCACTGAGTACACGAGGCTGACATGTGGTTGGCACGTTTATAATTTAAAATGTGCTTGGCACATTTGTGGTTCTATGTATGGTGCAAATGTAGCCAGAGAAGAGGGCCATTCCTATTTCAGGGGAGTGATACTTAATAACCTTGATGCAGCTACTGACTTTAGCATGACATCCAAGGATGCTCTATGAGAAAAGAGATTGTATCTCTGAAATTCAAACCGATTTGAAGTTAGACTTGAGAAAGATTTCTATTATTTTCTACAAATTCAGGAAAAGTAAAAGGTTAAAGCCCCTTATTGCTATTAATCATGCGTCCATACTAGGTGTAGGAGAGCCAGCTGGGTGTAGTGGTTAAGGCATCAGGCTAGAAACTGAGAGATTGTGAGTTCTTGTCCTGCCTTGGGCACAAAGCCATCTGGGTGACCTTGGGCCAGTCACTCTCTCGCAGCCCTTGGAAGCAGGCAATGGCAAACCACTTCTGAAATCTTGCCAAGAAAACTGCAGGGACTTGTCTGGGCAATTGCCAGGAGTCAAAAACTGACTTGAAGGTTACACATACACACCATTACTAGGTGAGGAACAGAGAAGGCTTTCTCCTAATCTCAGGAAGTGAAAAGGATGACACAGGTAACCTGGACACACGTCATTTAAGATTTTTAGGTTGGGCTCACTGAACATGTTGGGCTAACACATGATTAGCTACTTGGTGATTCAGGGTATTGTGCAAATCCAAAAAAATTGAGGAAAGCATGGTTAACCTAACCAGATATAAGGGTGTTGTGCAAACGCACCCTAAAAATAACAACCAAAACTTTGAATTGTTCCTGGAAAAGTGCTGCATACAGGTAGTCCCTGCTTAACAACTGCCCTGTTTTGCAACCATTTGAAGTTACAATGGCACTGAAAAAGTAACTTTACAACCATTGCAGCATCCCTGAGGTCACCTGATTGAAATTCGGCACTTTGCAATCAGTGTGCATTTACAACTGTTGCAATGTCCCGCAGTCACGTGATCACCATTTGGGTGCTTCACAGCCTGCTTCCGAGAAGCAGAGTCAATGGAGAAGCCAGCAGTAAAATCACAAGTCATGGTCACATGATGTCTTGCTTAACGACCCACAGTGATTTGCTTAATGACAGTGGAAGTGAAGTTGTAAGTCCGTTACATATGATGTCTTGCTTAACAACTTCATCACTTAGTGACAGAGTTGCCAGTACCAATCATGGTCACTAAGCGAGGATTACCTGTATACATATGCTATATACAGGTAGTCCCTGGGTTAAGAATGCCTGGTTTATGGATGACCCATAGTAAGGAATGGAGCCTATTGTAGCAAAATTTGAGTTAAATACATAATGGTTCAAGTTCATTACACAAAACTACTTATACAGCATTATACAATAATACTGTTCCAGCTTACATACAAATTTGACTTAAGGACAGACCTTGGGAACAGAACTTGTTCTTAAACTGCAGACTACCTTTAATATAAGCAAGATCATGACAGATTTCTGCACACCAAAATA